AGATATACTCTATCTGCAATTTTTACATGTATACACATACTTATCTCATCTGTTCGACTCAAATCCTAAACGCAGCCATCTTCAGTTCAGCTAAAAATTTAAACAAATGAAAGCGTTAATTACTAAATTCAGTCTAGTCTGACTCAAGGCTACCGACTCTTATACCTTATTTTCCAAGCAGAGAAAGTAGATGTTTTCTGAGCTTGAACTCCAACCAGCCACTAAACCGGCTTTAGAAAGAATTACATGCATGTTTGCAAAAAAAAAAGATTGTAAGAATATTTTTCCTTACACGCCCACAAATTTTCATGGAGATCAGTCGATCGAGCGAAACTTTGCTATTTATTTACAAGAATAATTTTATATTTACAACATTCTTAGAACTAATGCAATGTTTATCATTTACCAATTTATAAAGAAATAAATACGAAAATAATATTTTATTCATTAATTTATAAACATTTACTAAATTTTTAAAATATGTGAACCAATTATAAGGAAATCCTTATTTTATAAAATTTGAAATTTGAATCAATTGGCAATTAGCCATTAAATAATGTAAATAAACAATCTAATAAATAGCGTTTGTTATTTTCGTTGTCAATTCTCAAGAACAAAGAAAATTATAAATTCACTTTCATATATTTAGGTTTTATTCCAATTCTAATCACTTTTTAAAACAATAAGCATTAGTGAAGGTAGTTAAAATTTAAGCAGCGTCAACGGAAAAACCGCCCTTTTTACACTACGTCTTATTACGAGCACTAAGTCCATGTTTGACAATTTTCTTTTAGTTTTGGTTTTCCATTAATTTTCACATTGTTAGACCACGAATGAACTGTGAACGAACATTTTGTATCCATTTATTTTATATCTGCATATGCTTGTAAAATCAGTACTTCCCAATAGAAATATGCGATTGTAATTGCCACAACTAATTGAAAATTGCATTGTAACTACTGCAGCCGATACAAAATAAAGTCAGATGTTAAGTTATAAAGCTTCCTGAATCTATATATACATATGGTTTTTATTAATCTGATCTCATATAGGGAATATGTTTTTAGTTCCAGTTTCTTAGTAAACATTCATTTAAATTTTATTTTATTTATTTTTGCTTTTCGTTTGCATTCGAATGACATTTCTAGATTTTCTCCGGATATAAATATTATATAAAACTTTTGGAAGCTAATGTTTCGGGATAAGGGGAGATGAATCTTTAGGGTTTATTCTGAAAATTAGCGCAGTAAAGATTTTAGACAAATGATACATCTCAGCTCAACAGTGACATTGAACTGAGAGAGTTTTCTGTTGAAATTGATGCGAAAGATAAATCTAGTCTTCTGTTTCATTTTTAATTCCAGCAATAAATAAGTGAAAGGCTGGCACCCCCTCTCCCCAGTCCTCCCTATAACGCCGTAGATGTGTAGAAACTGAAGCTTACTACATTATTTACATCTTAATTAAGTGATCACTTACAAATGGATTACGGCTTCAAAGAAAATAGCTGATAAATCACCGATGTCAAAATTTGCTTCAGACAATCAAGATAAAATACAACATCAAGCTACAGAAAAAATGATGGAATATCAGTTCCAGATTAACCTAGTAGTGTTGCTGCTGCTGCTGCTGCTGCTAAATTTCATGCCATGAAGGCGTTGAGCCTCCAACAACCACCTTATCCCTCCGGCTCTCATGGTCTTGGCAAAACGTCGGAACATCCTCCAGTGCTAGATTAATCTGATGCTGGTCGTGACGGATGACATTTTTCCCGCGGCTGCGTGGTCTACCGCGATGTTGTTTCCAGTTTGCAGATGGCGAGACGAACTGGTAAATGACTGGTAGAGGTGATCATCAGGACATGACCGAACTAGCGAACACGACACTGATTGACGGTGCGAAAGATGTTCGGTCCTTCGGCAGAGTTCCTCATTCGGACCAGTGCACCCACTCGATGGTGCTGAGAGCTCGGGACTCGAATCTACGGACGTGACAGGCAAGGTTCTTAATGAGAGGCCACGTTTCGACGCCATATAGTAACCCAGAGAGAACGGCAGCGTTGTAAACTCGTATCTTGGTGCATTGGGACATGTGGTGACATCGCCATAGTGATCGCCAGAGGTTACTCATGATACCTGCAGCCACCCCACGTCTACTGTTTTTCTCTGCGAGGAGATCACCGGTGTTGAAAAGTTCTGAGCCCAAGTATACGAAAGATGTGAAATGCCCCTGTCCACGCATTAAATATGCTCAAGTTGCATCATACGATCCGGCGATATTAATGTTTACATCTTGGGGTTGCGGCATCTTTAATTATTCATAATTTCAGGTAACATTATATCGAGTCCATTCAATCTGTTCAAATAGCTCGTTGGAATCATTTACCTTGTATTTTTCGGTGGGGTAGTTGTTTACCATATTGACAAAAGTTTAGAATATATACCTGTTTTATAAGTTGAACGGAGGCATGGTGGAGTAATGGATAGCGGCTCGGAGAACCGAGTTCGAATTCCAGTCAAATCCATTACATTACTCTTGGGAAAGGTATGAATCCTCTTCTCCCTCCACCGCCCCAGCTACGGGTAAATAGCAGGACCGACCGGGTTCTATAACCTTAGATGGCAACTGAAAATAAGAAAAAAATGGCAATCTGCTGCGGGAAAAAATCTGCCTCGTCAGTCATGTATCGAAAGATACATGATCGCCTAAGCGTGTATCACGCATAGTCCATAACTGACTTTATAAGTTTTGATAGGACTTACAAGTTCAAGAATTCTGCTCAGAGTTGTTAATCGTTGTATTTCAGACCCTTGCCCTGGCGATGGGCCTGTCCTCTTCCCTGTGAAAATGATATGAACTAATTTTAGTATGCAAATTCTTATTTGCGGCATCACTGACTTAAAACCCACTCCTCAAAACACTATTTTATGCAAGTAAATAATTTATGATTTATGCGTATTTTTTTAAAAATACAGGCCCCCGCACTAGCTTAATGTGATCATGTGTAATATTAATATAGATTTATAAGCAGGGCCGGTCTTGTGGGTCCCCACTGAATCTATGATACGCCCGCCGGATATATAATACCCCTAGTCTTTGATACGTGGCCCGCACCCTACTACATCTGAATTTTCATAAGGTAGTATTCATGTAAAATACAAATTTTATTGTTACCTATAGGATATATAACTATTATATACAATAATGGATCACATGCAATATAGGGGAACAATTAAACTAGACATATTGGAAATAAATACAATGAATCTAAATAGAAATTAGAGACATGTCATAATAAATCATTCCATCTTAAATAAATCAATGTTTTGCGGCCATTTTTAACGTTAACTTGAGATTGTTCTTGTTAAAATGTTAAATAATGTAAGCGTATTCAACATTATAGATGAAAAATAGTGAACATTATTTACATTATTCGGACTATTGTCCTCATCTTTTTCGCCATATCTATCACAATGTTTCGGCCGTTGTACGCTCCGGCCTTCTTCAGGTGGTTGCAATGGGGTAGACTGTTCTCGTTCCATATGCCATGTTTGCCAGTCTACCCCAGTGAGCGAAATAAAGGGTTCGGTTCGACATTGCAACCACCTGAAGAAGGCCGGAGCCTACAACGGCTGAAACATTGTGATAGATATGGCGAAAAAGATGAGGACAATAGCCCGAATAATGTAAATCATGTACATAATACCTCATCTCAGAAATATAAACAGACTCTGAAAAATAGTGAATTTTATATTTTGCATGATCAAAATCAATAGACGGATTTGGACATAAAATATCCCAGAATGATGTCAAAATCCAGGAAATTTTTTCATCCTTTAATAATCAGTTGTGCTCAGTTTCATTTGTAACGTATGTAGGTAGACAAAAAAGCAAATGTTGATGATGGTGAGAGTCACAAAAAACACTACCCGGGACTCCTAACTAGGCTCCTCCACCCAACGTTGGGGGGGGGGTTAGTACGCACCGGCCTTGTTTAAAAAGTATAACGATAAATACTATCTAAGATCAGACCGATTCTGTGTATCGTCCGTCAAGTCGGGTCTCTGACTCTAAGACCACGTGTCATTGCGAAGACAATCAGCATCTATGTTTAATTAACTGCTAATCTCAACTTTCATTTTTTTTTTCTATATATCTCCACTTCTCAAACTGACTCTGTCTATATATCACCGCCAATTTATCTGATCTTTTCTGATGTACACATTAGTGGAAATTTGTTTTTACGTTACATATATCTGGGGTTGTTATAAAAGCCAGCGCGTCCGACGTACTGAAACGAGCATCACATTTTTTTCCTACAGGCGCAAAACGTGCTTGTTCAAGTTGACAAGTACCAGAAATTACTTATAGCAATTGGCTCGTCGGCAAAATGTTTTTAGTCAGTGGAGTCGCGGGTAAGAATTTGCACCCTAAAATTAATTCACGTTATTTTCCCGGGTAGGGGTACAGGCTCTTCCCATAGCGTTCGGGCCTGAAATACCGCGATTAGCAACAAAAAGGAACAAAAATCTCCGGGTAGAATTCTTTAACTATTTTCGTATAATCGAACTATTTTTGAATGGGATTAGTTGTACAAAAATTTATTTCAATGATGATGGCGTTTCTCAAAAGTGTATAGACAATAGAATTCTTAAATGTTAATGATTTTTATTCTCGAAATTATGAATACTCTTTGTTCAACTCTTTTGTTAATTGGGTATCGCAAAATATATGATTGATTTTTTACGGTTTATCAACTTTTACAGTTGATTTAAAGCCAGAAAATATTTTTAGATTGTAAGGATTATTTAGAAATAATAATGATTTACTAGTGCAAGTCTTACTAATTAACCCATAGCTGGGGGAGAAGAGGTGGATTCATACATTTGCCAAGGGCATTTGCGCGTAAGTGAATATAACAAACCTGACTAATATTGGAACTCGGCTCTCCAATTTCCAATTCTGAACCGTTACCCATTACACTACCTGCACATCAAACCTTACAGCACCTGGTATTCCCAAGCGGTCACCCATCTTAGTACTGACCAAGCTCGACGTTACTTAACTTTGATGACCGTACGAGAAGACTTGCAAAAATATGTCCCGAAAAAAGATTATTTAATCATTCATTTTTGTTTATCTGTGTCTATTTTAGCTCACTATTACTCTTTCTCGTTCAATGTATATTTGCCAAGGATTCCATAATAAATCTACCAAATTCTTATTCATTTATGTACCTTGAGCAATCATAGCTCTCAACAACTTCCTATCATTTGTAGCTCTTTGAAATCAATCTTATTTTAAGCTGATCTTATCTGGCACACAATAAATGCAGATACACAAAAACACAATAAGTTACATACACTTTATCGAATTCTACATTTAAGATTACCGTCTAAACACGTCCGTGCGATACATAGTTGTTCAATATGTACAAGGGTGGGATGAAAAGTTCATAATCTGACTACAAAGAAGTGATGCTAGAACTGGGAAATCTTGCATGCATTCATTTCAAATCTTCTTATTACTAACTGCATTGTTTCTTTCCAGGTAAACTGACATCTGACTTTTCAAAGAAGACTGTTCATCATGGTGGTCAAAACGTCATCAACAGCAGATATGACGTCATCATCAGTGTGATATTGGTTTCCGGTGTCTTTTCATGTTGTAAAATTGATGATAGTCAAATCAGAAGAGGACGGAGGATGATCAACCAGTTCAAAGTCCCAGTCACATATAGCAGCCATTGAAACTAATGACTTATATGCTGAAGCATCGTCCTGATGAAACAATACGCCTTTCGTCGGTTTTCCTGTGCGTTTCGTAACTAGCCCAGCCTTATAGTACTTATGGCGTAGCCCTTTTGAAGACAGTAAATAAACATTGATCGAGTTCCCCAAAAATATGAGGTGATCATTTTCCCTGCAGATGAAACGACCATGGCTTTCTTTGGAGCAGGTGAGGTGGGGTGCTTCCACTGCATGAATTGTCTCTTTGTCTCTGGTTCAAAGTAATGAACCTAAAACACTCATCTTAGATTAGGAAACCTACAAGGAAGCTAGCTGGATCTACCTCAAACGTCAGGTTTCCCTGTGATATGATCATTGATCAGCTTGTGCGCTTTTGATCAGATGTTAAAAGACGTAGCACTTACCGAGCAGAAACCTTCGTCATGTCAAGTTCATTGTGCAAACTATTTCCATTTCTCACACGAAATATGCTAATAGCATTGGCTATTTGATTTATAGTCAATCACCTGTCATCCATCACTACGCGGTGAACACTATCAAGGTTTTCCTCAGTGGTGGTAGTCGCAGGACGTCCAGACCTTGTGTTATATTCAAGACTCTCTCTTCCCCTCCTAAATTCAGCTATCCACTTTTGCACTGGAGCGTCGTCCCCTAATGTAACAACCATATGGGCATGAATGTCCTTGGGGGTTAAACCCTTTTTCAGCATGCACTTGATGACACCATGATGCCAAATTTTGTCCATTTCCAAGGGAAGTCGCTAGTTACATTTGAAGTCTTCTTTGAACAATCAGATATCAGTTTACTTGAAAAGAAACAATGAGGTTATTAATAAAAATGAGTTGAAATTAACGCATGCAAGAGTTCACAGCTCTAGCATCACTCCTTCAAAGTCAGCCTATGAAGTTTTCAGCCCACTTTCGTAAATTAAATCTTTAATTTCCACATTGAACTTCTTTTGGATCCCACATAATTCGTAAAAAATTAGACTAATATTACGCCTGGGCAATGCATGAATATATCCTGTATGTCGATATCGGCGAGAAGATTTCTTACAGATTAGTTGCCTGTTGTTATCCTTCGTTATGAGCCACGACATAATATTTGATCAAAATACTTAACTGTTTTCTTGTCCGATTTACCCTTTTCTCCTCCTCTATTAAAAAAATTACCTTTTGTCGGTCGTTTTTTTTTTATTATTCATGTTTTCTCTTTTCCCGTGACCCTCGTTTTTTTTTCAGTAGAGGATGGTAACAATACGTTTGGCCTTCAATTAATTTGCCGAGCGCAATGAGTTTCTGAGCCTAATTACTTGTAAAAAGTGAAACTATTAAAAAAAAATACTCTTAAAATAAAATTACTGTTGAACAAATTTCACGGTTTTATTTCCAAATTTTTAATTAACCATGTTATTTATTTAATAAAAGATTTAAAGATTTAAATATGCATACTAATAAAAAAAAAGAAAGACAACGGATGACCATCGCCAGCAATCTATATATTAAGGTACAGCAGTCTTTCTCAACCATTTTGTACTTCAGAGTGCACTTGTAGAATAACTAAAACTCTGAGGCACACTTTAAATTTTAATATGGAAAAATTAGTCATGAACTTTGAAAATATGAAATTTTGGTTTAGTCTTCCTAAAGAAGATCAGCGGTACAGTTTTCTTTTTTAAATGGATTTTTAAGAAACTGCTATTTTTTTTTTTTTTTTTTTAGAGAGGTTGATAATGATTTATTTAAATCCCTTGAGTTTGTTTTACGGCATATCAATCTCAATGGGTTATTTAATGCCGACAAGATTTTTAGGATAGGTTCGTATGAATAGTATATGTATCAATTTGTAGATCAGGTTTCATTGACGTATTTTTGTTTAGAGGGTTTTTGTTGTGAACCAAATGAATTACTGGTAATATTATTTTTCCAAAAATGTATTGCTTGTATTTTTTAACTTCCATAGTGTTTTGAACCCAGCGTGAGCGTTAACTGCTTGCCCATATCTGTGACCCTAACATGTGCTACCACCCCGGGTCAGGGTAAACTTGGGAACAACAGCAATTAAGAGGTGGTTTCGCGCTCCTCAAAATCTCCCGATCAGAGCCCTTGCTGCCGGGTATAGTTTATCGTCATACCCAGGACGCGATGGCAAAATGATTATTCACTCCTTCTTCAATGGCGGATCTACTATGAAACTAATGGAACCTATTCCCAGAGGGGCTTCTGAAGCAACTTTTTTTAATGAGTTAATTTTTCAACAAAATCGATGTTTTTTTATGTTTGTTATTAGAATAGGGAACCTTTAGTAACAGAATCACAAACCAATGGGTTGAAACAACTAATCCTGCCTTTGTCCATTTCATATGGCCTCAAAATCTGCCTGTAATTGTTCAAATTTCAAAATTTTCTGGTGTGGTTTGCTGTACCAAAACCTCAACTGTATGAGCTCGCCAGAATATATTCATATCCTCATTTTGTCAGTTGGATCCTGCAATTTATTGTTGCTGATTACGAAGAAGGCCCCCATATCTGTTCAATCTTCAGGCCCCCAAAAATGTAGGTCTGCCACTATCCTACTTAACGATTAAGGAAATTAGCATCCAGTTTAAAATATCAAATCATAAAAACTTGATTTAGACATGGAAGCCATGTAAAATAAAAGTCATATAAATATAAAGATAATTCATTAATTACTCTTCTGTTAACCTGGGGCGCAAAGGGATACCTTTCCGAGCGCAAACAGTTATTTTCTAGAAAATTAACCGGTCGCCTGAAAAGCGTTTTACGCCTGCTCTTGTCAAAAGTTATAAAACTATAAACGTACACACTTTATTTTCTTTACTATAGAATAAAAAGTTTATTTCTAACTTTGATGTTAAGTCAGCGTTTCCAAATTTTTTGACCCGAATTAAACTCCAGAGATCTCTTGCATAAAGATTATTATCTATATAATAAATGCAAGTGTCAGTGTGTCACACTTTTTTAACTTTATTCCGAAAGGCCGTAGCCCAACATATGCTACCATTTTGAAATCAGGCTGACCAAGTAAGCAAATTAAAAGCATTCCAGACCGGATCCAGATTTGCAATCCTGAAATTTTGGATTCCCAAGTTTTTATTACTTCGATTGTTTTCGGATTCCGGCTTCTACTGATAAAAACAATTAAAGGGACACAACTCTCTAACTTTCAATAGCTCATGCTCAAATGAAAAGAATTTTTGTTCCCAAATTACAGTGTTTCAAAAAAAAATGTCTGTGTTTTCAACTTTACTCCTAGAGGCCATAGACCATCATATTATATCATACCATTTTGGAATCAGTCCGACTCCGTTAGCAAATTAAAAACATTCAGGATCGGATCCAGACTTGCAATCCAGAAATTTTGGATTCCCAAGTTTTCATTATTGCGATTGTTTTCGACGATTTTTTACTTTTTTTTTTTCGACGATTTTTTTGTATGATTACAATTTTTATAACTTGGAAATAAATTTGCGGATAATCGAAATTAATTGCAAAATTCAGCGAAAGTCACCCATGAAATAATTGTTTGCACGGAAGATAATGATCAACGTACATGAAATTGTCTTTAAATTGAGTGGCAGCAGAGGAATTATGGTTAAATTTTTAAAAGATAAGCTTAAATAGTAATGCAATACTCTATTTTCAGTTCTTCTGTAGTTTTTTTTATTGTTGCCCATCGCATCTACTCCTTCCTAACTGTTGTGATGAATAACCAATCAAGGGACCTCCACAGGAGCTAGATTAAATGCCACCCGATAGGGCGGCTTTTAAGCAAAATTTTAATTTTAAGCTATATCTATAAACATTTTTCTATTTCATAAAGTTAAAATACAGAAGGCAAACATTTATCTGATAAGGTTTTTTTAGCCTGTTTTTATTATTGGGTTTATTGACAATGCAAAAAACACCAAAAACTCAATCTGTTCGTTCAAGAAACGTCCTTAAAGAGGTTTTCATTTGCCCCCGTCCCAAAAAAATAAAAAAAAACAAGAAAGAACAAGCACATCTGTGTAACTCAATCGGACCCCGCCATGACTGAACAAGGGACCCATACAATCAAGTGGAGTGTAAATGGTTTTATCTGGGCCCAATGCAGACAGCGGGTTTTATGTCTACTAACAGTAAAATCTAGACGTGAGCATTTCAAGCAACCACACGCTCTCCATAAGTAAGGAAAAAGGAAATAAATTTGGTATCAAGTAATACTCGGCCGGAAGGTAGGGAATTCTGGTCAGGCCTCATTCTAGATAGTGACCCCCAGAGTGAAGTAGTCGAAACTAGAATCACGGTTATATCTAGATTTAGAGTTGGACGG